TTGAAAATGGTTCTCATTTAGCTACGTTTAGGGTTCGTTCATCGCCGAATATGCTGGAGAGTTGATAAGCATCAAGGAAAAGAATAGGAGAATAGCTGAAGTTACAGCGCATAAGAATGCTGAAGAGAAGCACTACATGATGGCGTTAGACTCTCAACGCATAATAGATTGTAAAGAAAAGGGCAATGACGCAAGGTAGGAAGATACAAAACACTTCTAATGGAAAGTCATCAGTAAATGTTGATGGATTTTATCCCTCTCATGTATTGTAGGATTTTTTAGTCTTTTGATACAGTGAAAGCGAGCTTTAATTACCAAAAAGGCTTATAAAGTTAAATATTCATTTATATATTACCAACTTTTGTATGAATTATAGTAGTGATGAAGACTGTTGAAATTGTTCTTTTCCATGATTCTTTCTTTTCCAGCCAATGCAATATTATGTTGTGGAAACAATTTTAGGTTCCTCAATCATTCATGCAGTCCGAATTGTAAGGTGGAAACAGTGTACGTTGTGGTAAACAGAACGAAGCGTCCAAATGGTGTTACGGTGAAGGTGTGTATATCCAAATTATTGATTTTGAGATTATAAATTTATTTTGCAGTACGATAAGCGGATAACAATCTATACTATAGAAGACGTACCTGCAGGTAAGCTGTTGTATCAAGTCACTTCATTTTGATACTCGTGCAATTGGATCTGTCTCTCTATGTAATCATACTCTTTATTCTGTTCTGCTCCTAGTTTTTTCAACTGGTCTCAATAATTCTTTTTTTTTACGTGTATCATAAGTGGCAAAAATATTTCACAACTAATTTGATTACTGACTAGAGATCGCTTTATGATTTTTCAGGTACTGAGCTTTGCTTCAACTATCAGATGACACAGTATAACATTGGCTGTCCACTACCCGACTGTAAATGTGGAGCTCCAAATTGCACCGGCACGTTAGGAGCCACAGGTTTGCAACTTTAAGTTTTTAATTCCACTAGATTCCTCTCATTTTTCTCGTTTAAGCTCATGGAAAATTAGAGAAGGCAGGCCAGGAGTTGGAAGCTGTGACCGTGGACTCCCAGAAATCAAAGAAAAAGAAGCAAAAACGCAAAGCTGCTTCTTCTCCCGCTTTACCGGAAAAGAAAAGATACGGAGTTCGCTCGCGCCAATCTACTCCTGCTTCTTCCGCGTCTTCATCTAGAAGCCCCCACAAAGAGCAGAGATCCGCTTTGAATGGAAGTAGGACAGGACCCACCGTTACTTTCAAAAGAACTTCGCTTCCTTCGAGATTGGAGGTTAAATTTGTCTCTCATACTCTCCCTTTACTAGGAAGTTTAACAGTAATTTCAGTCAGTTCACATTTTGCATACACAAACTCCGGGCAGCGCTAGTCGTGGTTGCAGGGTCATTAACGGGTTCAAAGGTAGTTTATACTTCTGTACCAGTAGTAAACTTTCGATACTGCGTATTTCAGAGCCGATTTCTGAAATCGTGGAAGACGAAAAGCTGAAGAGAGCGCTTTTGAATGGTGAAGTAAGTATCAGAAAGCAGCCATTTCCGGGAATGAATTATCTTAGGCATTCTTAAATGGGTTTTTACCTTAGATTTCACTTCTTGTTCAAGAAATTGAAAAAAAAATACAAGCGCGTAATAGAAATACGTCGCTATGTGTTTGTTGTAGATGTTTTAGAATCCCCTCTCTTAATCTTGATTATTCTTAACTAGTTTGAAGGAAATGGATTGTCATTCCTAAAAAGTTGAGAAAAATTGTAAAGTGGATGAGAGCATCATTATGTGAAATTTCTACCAACTAATTAGAATATACCTCGAGGTTCTGAATCAGTTGCTTAATTGGTAATAAACCATCTAATTTATTTTTTAGGCGTTAGAAAAACTCTCTGATACCAAGCCTTCACAAAAAGTTGTTAATGGTCAGTTCACTTTCTTATCTATCTTCGCTTTATCACTAATAAACCTCTCTTCAGGTCTTAGAAAGAATCGGCGGATAGCAGCAGAATTGTCCTCAGTTAACGTTATTGTGTCATAATTTTCCTCTTTTTTTT